GGGTGTGGTCTCCTGGACTTGTGTTTCCTGGGAGGGGTCTGTTCAGGGATTGCTGAGCCTTGTTCCAGCCAGGGCTGACCACTGAGCCAATGGGGGCAGAGCAAGAAACATCCAGGCCGCCTGTGCTGCAGCCCCCATGGCTGCCTAGGGCTCCCCTGGGCAGGGGCAGTTTGTGTTCTCGCAGGGCCTGTGTTGGTACACGTGAGAAATGTTTCCGTGAGCAGCAGTGGAGCGTTTACACAAGCCTTGCGGTGGCTGGGCCAGGCCCGTGCCTGAGGGCGTGGTAGCCTTAGGAAGGCTCGTGTTGAGGCCTCACTTGCCTGCATTCTGTGGGGGCTGCAGGCAGCCTCTGTTCCTGGGAGTCCTTCACACTTCCTGTAGCCAACAGAAAGCCACTGCACCCCCAGGCAGCGCATGCCCAGCGTCAGTCCCTGGCCCCGCGCTTCTTCACAGGTGCTCATTTGCTCATCCCGGTGAGGGAGGATGATAAACAGGTACAGCAGTGGCAAAATGGCTTGAGAGCCCAACCACGGTGGCCACAGGGCAGGGCTGCGCAGACGCCATGTGAGGGACCTGGGCATGGCCCTGGCTGTGCAGGTGGGAGAGCGGTCATCTTCCACGGGTGGGACTTGCTCCATCATACCTCCAGCAGGGCTTCCTCCGGCTCCACACACGCGAGGCCAGGGCGTGCTCCACTCCCACGCAGATGCTCGAGCTGGGTCCAGGCTTGACCAGCCCTGGCCTCACCTATCACCTTAACCTCCTGGCTTTAACTTCCTGGCCTTATCCTTCTGGCCTGATGCACCTGGCTGTTCTCTCCTGGCTGACCCACCTGTGTTTAACTTCTCAGTCTTACCTAGTTAGATTTAATCTCCTCGATCATCGTCACTTGACCTTACTTACTTTGCTGCAGTGACTTGGCCTTAATCTCCTAGCAGTTCTAGCCTGCCATAGCCACTTGGCCGTATGTACCTGGCTTCGCCTCCTGTCTGGACCCATTCACCTTTTTCTAGCTGGCCTTACCCTTTTGCCTTTCTCTCCCAGGCTTAACATCTTAGCCTTACCAACCTGGCCTGGATGGTAGTGCCCTCATGGTGACCAGGATGTCTAGCGTCCCATCACACCTGTAACACACTAACAGGTGCCAGCACAGAGCCACTCACACCGGCCTTCAGGGTCATGTTTCTCCTGGTGTCGTGCGTTTGTGCCAGTGTAGCTCTCTGCGGGGCCTGTGCCAGTGCTGCGTCAGGCATGGTGGCCTCAGAGGCGCCTTCTACGTGTGGCCCAGTTCTTGCTCCACGGCTCTTTCCCTTGAGATTGCATCACAGGCAGTTTTGGGGCCCCTGGGCGTGGTGGAGTCTAGATCCCAGCACCTCACTCTGGCCAGTGTGGTGGAGCCTCCCTGCAGCCCCTCCTACGCATCCTGTCTCACCTGTCTGTGTTAGCAGGTGGTCACTGGGATGCCCACCCACCTCCCGGTGAGTCCCACAGCCAGGGCTGGGACGGTGCCTGCTGCACGGCCAGGCTCAGAAAGTGCGGCTGGACCCTGTTTGAATGGCAGTTCTTACTGTCTTCTTTTAGCCTCCTTGGATGTGAGCTTGTCGTCATTGTCAGGAGCTTAGGGGCAGCCCTGGCTTTCCTCATCTTCTGTAGGGAAGTGGAGTTTTGAAGACACCCAGGAAATTGCCCCAGTGATCTTCTTGCTGGGCTGCCTGACTTGTACCTGGGCTGTCTCCCCTGTGTGGCCCCTGACTGTTATCTGGGTGGCACCATGGGGTTGTGGCGTCTCATTGTTCCCATGGTGTTGTCTATGGAAGGGTGCATTCGGGTGCCTTGACTCTCAGCGAAGGTAGCATGCCCCGTCGCCACCTCCGAGTCCCCACTGCCTGAGGTGCGTGCCCTTCCTGGACCCTGGGTGCTCAAACGTGCTGCTCCTGTGTGTGCCCACGCTCAGCCTGCCGTGCTCATGCTGCCAGCACGCCACTCCCAGAAGCTGCCCCTCCAAGGCCTACTCTGGAGATGCCGTTTCCTTCGCAGAGCCCTGCCTCAGGGGACTGAGGTTTTGTTGCATCTAGGAAGAGAATAAAAGATTTCATGGTTTTTCTGGAGAAGCAGGATGAGGTTGATAGTTCTGATAGGAATTTTCCTTAATGTGTCTCGCTGTGCGGCTGTACTGTTACACATGTGCTCCTGTGGTGTGTGTGCCTGTCCCGTTACATGTGTAATGTGTGTGCTCCTGCTGGGTGGGTGAACTGTTAACGTTTTCCTGCCGTATGGCTGTACCGTCATGCATGTGCTCCTGCCGTGTGGCTGTACCATCACATGTGTGCTCCTGCTGTGTGGCTGTACCGTCGTCACACGTGTGCTCCTGCCGTGTGGCTGTACCATCATGTGTGTGCTCCTGCCGTGTGGCTGTATTGTCATCACACATGTGCTCCTGCCGTGTGGCTGTACCTTCAGGTGTGTGCTCCTGCCGTGTGGCTGTACTGTCACGTGTGGGCTCCTGCCATGTGGCTGTACCATCGTGCGTGTGTTCTTGCTGTGTGGCTGTACCATCACGTGTGTGCTCCTGCCGTGTGGCTGTACCATCACATGTGGGCTCCTGCCATGTGGCTGTACCATCATGCGTGTGTTGTTGCTGTGTGGCTATACCATCACGCGTGTGCTCCCGCCATGTGACTATACCGTCACGTGTGTGCTCCTGCTGTGTGGCTGTATCGTCACACTTGTGCTCCTGCTGTGTGGCTGTACTCTTACCTGCGCTACGTTTCACTTAACATTTATTGTGAGCTTTTTCCTCATAAAAATTTTGATATTTCAAGACTCTGTAGGTTCTGTAAGTCATGCCCAATTCCTGGTGGACGGTGCCATTTTGGCTGTGCAGGTCCGTGGTGATAGCAGCGTTCCTTCTCTGGACCTGGTGTTCTCCCGGTTGTTGCTGGAGTTGCTCGCTTAACTATGGCTCTTCTGCCTTTTTATGATGTTATTTGATAGAACCCTTGAGGGTGGATTTAAACACCCTTAGTTTCGTGGCGCTTTTGGATGTTGTATTTATTGTTTTATTGTTTTCTGCAGGCCGGTCTAATTGAAGCCAACGGAGAACTCAAGGTCTTCATAGACCAGAACCTTAGTCCCGGAAAAGGTAAGGGCACCTGTTCTCACCTGTTCTCACCTGTTCTGGACATATACTTGTGTTGTTGAATGCGTTGAAGTGTCACGTTTATGAAGCTATTGACATCGAAGCCTCTTGCTAACGAGGGTGTCTCCCGTGTGGGCACCTTTGTGCTGTGGGAACCTGCGAGGGTGGGCGTAGGGGCCTTCTCACATTTAGAACACGACCTGCACACACACACCAGTAGCTTTGTTGATTTTGAATTCTAATGTATGTATACTGTTTGCAAGAGTTTAGAAAAGGTAGGATAATGTGAAGAAAGATGATTTGTTTTTCCTCCACCCGGAGATAATATTGTCTCAGCAGTGGCGTGGGCTCTTCTGGAGGCCAGCCTCGCCTGTGCTGTTGAAGAGGAAAGAAGGGCCTACCATGGCGCCACGAAGCGGTCGCTTTCCACGTCTCATGCTGTGTGTGCGTATTCTAACAGCTCTTGAGGAAGAGCCGTTTTTCTTTTCTTGAGGAATCCAGGGGAGGAAGTCAGCTGGAGAGGTTGAAGCTGCCTTTTCCAGGGTCCCATGGTTGGCAGAGTTTTCATTTGACACCTCGGAGTGGCACTGTGGTTTACAGCCGTGAAGGTGTGTGTGCTCACCTGGTTACTTCCCAAGTAAACTCCTCAACTGTGCTGGGTCAGGGCACGCCATTTAGAAGCTTTGGCGTGCGATGCTTGGCCCCGTGTGAGGCTGCGCTGTGTGGAGCTGGGAGTGTGTGCAGGGCAGTTCGGTGTGGTTGTTGAGATATCGCTGGGAGACAAGCTTGTGGAAGAGTGCGCTTTGTCCTAAGAGGTGTCTGCCTGCACAGCACAGCGGGCCCATTGAGCGTTCTGGCTGCGACATGCACGTGGTTGCGTCAGCCCAGGGTGGAGCCCAGAGGCCTGGATGCTTTTCCGTTTTAGGTTCTTTTTAAGCTTTACTTTGAATTTTTCTAATTATTCTCATATACAAAATTAGCTTTTTTAACTTTTAACAGTGAGATCCTTGTAAGTGACTTTTTGGTGCTTGCTGTGGCTTTGGGGCATGGGAGCGTGGTGACCAGGACTCCAGCCCTTTTCTGAGGTGTGGCCCTGCCGGCCATCCCTTTCTGTCCAGTGCTGGTGTGGGTGCCCACGTGCCGTGGAGCTGGCTCCAGGTGCCTCCTTGGGGCCCGTCCCTAGGTCCGGCTCTGGTCTCTTCCTGGTGAGGACTTGGCCTGTGACCTGAGCCGCGTGCACCCTCCCCAGCCTCCTGCTGCCCCCAGGCTCTGGGCCCTGCCATAGGGAGTGGTGGGCACTGGCCCTGACCCTGCTCTTCCACTGAAGCAGGTCCTTCCTTGTCTCTTTTCTCGGGAGAGGGATCAAACCTACGGAGACCTCTTAGCATTATTTGAGCATTTTGTTGATCATTTGTAGCAGTCACAGATTGCTTGAGAGAAATACAGTTTAGTGCAACTAATTGAACACTTAAAAGGTTGCACAAAGGCCGGGCGCGGTGGCTCAAGCCTGTAATCCCAGCACTTTGGGAGGCCGAGGCGGGTGGATCACGAGATCAACAGATCGAGACCATCCTGGTCAACATGGTGAAACCCCGTCTCTACTAAAACTACAAAAAATTAGCTGGGCATGGTGGCGCGTGCCTGTAATCCCAGCTACTCAGGAGGTTGAGGCA